CTTGATTTGGTTTCTAAATATATATGAGTGTATGTATTAGCTGAAAAATATTGCTTCTGTTGACCTTAGGTGATTATAACCACCTCTATTTTAAAATATCTAAATTAAGTATTTTTCTTGTACTACACGACAGTTCACTTTACATTGGTTCCAAGCAACCTAAGGTCTGTTTAGAGGTCTAAATTTAAATATAGTGTTCCTCCTAGTTCGTATATGGATTTTGGAGAAGGAATCCAATTGTTTTCCTTGGATACAAGTCGCCTCCCTTTGGCAGTTAAAGAATTTGAAAGAGCACTCAGTGCGTTTTTTCTAATAATTCTTTGGATCATTTCATCAATTACTCTATTTTATATTTTTTAATGATATTGATTAAACATTTCATAATTATATTTCATTGATTTACACTTGTTCTAGAAATCTAAACTAATTTTTTATATTGAAATTGCCTCATTATTTTCCTTTAAACATTTTTAAAGCAAATAACTTCAAAGTTTCACACAATGAGGATATAACTTATGCAAATTGCAATTGAAAAATACTTAACACGCGTCCTTTTAACAATAAAACAATAAATTTCAGAAAGTAATTAAAAAATAATTTGAAAAACCCAACGAAATTAACTCGAATTCTAAAAATGCAAAATACTTTATTGACCTGCAAATTCTGATGAAAAATAATAAAATGCAACAACAAATGCACCAAAATTTGTATTTTAATATTTTTTTCTTGGTTTTCCAATTTTACACAATCTCTATTTTTAATTGGAAAACATTTTTAATTGGAGTACAGTTCATTCACTGTACTTCCATAGCAACATTTTTTTTAAAAAAAGTTTGTTGTTGTAGTACACACCCTACAATGATGAAATCCGGAATAAATGTATGCCATCCGATTTCTACACTTCCAACTTAAAGTTCTATATAGTTTTTTATTGGGCACAAGATTGTCCGATAGCAGTTATATATAAATTTATATATACTTCCATAGTAACATTTTTTTTTTAAATTTGTTGTTGTATTACACACCCTAGAACGATGAAATCCGGAAAAAAATGTATGCCATCCGATTTTTACACTTCCAACTTAAAGTTCTATATAGTTTTTTATCGTGCACGTGATCGTCCGATAACAGTTATGTATCATTTTATATATACTTCCATAATAATATTAAAAAAAAAAAACTGTTATAGAAACGGTTCTCTCGTGAGCAGACGCACAGTGGTATAGGAAAAAAAAAGAGGGAAATAATTCGGTAACTTCTAAACGGTTAATCCGATTTTAATGAAATTTGGTATGCACAAAGAAGAGGTGTTGTCGAGTTTAGGTTTTGAATTTGGACCTTATAGGCCAACCAGGGGCCCGGCGGGGGGTCCTCAAATTAGGACACCTCGGCTATGTTAAATTTTTAAAACGATCCTATTTCTTCATTTGAGTTCCGATTTAAAAAAAATTTCGTATATAGAATCTCCTCATCGAGGAGATCGGGTCCAAATATTCCCGATTTTCGCCATTTTTTTTTATTCGCTTAACAACAAGTTTATATATCAAGCAGTGAAAGAAATATGTAAAAATCATGACTGAGTCCAAAGTTATAGGCATTTTAATTTAAAAAATAAAAAAGGCGATTTTTTGTCATCCACCACCATCAGTGGTGATAGAGGGTATATATAACTTTGTTATTCCGTGTGTAACACCAAGAAATATTCATCTGAGACCCAACAAAGTATACATATTCTTGGACCTTATGAAATTCTGAGTCGATTTAGCTATGTCCGTCTGTCCGTCCGTCCGTCTGTCTGTCTGTCTGTCTGTCTGTCTGTCTGAAGCAACAAAAATTATCGAAATTCACCCAAAATATTTATTATTGTCCTAGGCAGTTTGGTATTGAAAATAGGCAAAATCGGTTCACACCCGGAAATGTTATGAATCAAAATTTGAAACAACCTCGAAAAAAATAAGCATTTTTTAAACATTCTGATGTAATTTTCTCGAAAACTATGCAAGATAATTCCATGAAAATCACCATACATTCGTTTCTACACAAGAGCTTGACTCCTGCTGAAAATTGCCAGAATCGGTCAACAATTTCATATATCTCCCATACAAAATTACATATTCCCGGAAAATGAATTTTTTGTTAATAACTTCCGTCACAATTTCAAAATCTTTACAAAATTTTACAAATTAAAATCTTATGTGAATAGAATTCATTCAGAGAAAAAATTTTCTGGATCGGTCCATAATTGGACATAGCTCCCATACAAGGTCCCCTCCCGAAAATAACTTAAACGCAAATAATTCATTACTAAATTAAGACATCCATATAAAATTTGGTACAAGTATTGCTCTCACATACAGAAATATTACTTTGAAATTTTTGTTCCATCGATCCATAATTAGTCATAGCTCCCATACAAGGTCCCCTACCGAAAATCACTTAAACGCGCATAACTCATTACTAAATTAAGATATCCATATAAAATTTGGTATAAGTATTGCTCATACGCAAGGAAATTTTACTGTGAAAGTTTTTTCTGATCGGTCCATAATTGGTCATAGCTCCCATACAAGGTCCCCTCCCGAAAATCACTTAAACGCTCATAACTCACTACTAAATTAAGATATCCATATAAAATTTGGTACTAGTATTACTCATATGCACAGAAATATTACTGTGAAATTTTTCTCCGAGCGGTCCATAATTGGTCATAGCTCCTATACAAGGTCCCCTCCCAAAAATCACTTAAACGCATATAACTCATTACAAAATTAAGATATCCACATAAAATTTGGTACAAGTATTGCTCATATGCACGAAAATATTACTGTGAAATTTTTCTCCGAGCGGTCCATAATTGGTCATAGCTCCCATACAAGGTCCCCTCCCGAAAATCACTTAAACGCACATAACTCATTACAAAATTATGATATCCACATATGCACGAAAATATTACTGTGAATTTTTTTTCCGATCGGTCCATAATTGGTTATAGCTCCCATACAAGGTCCCCTTCCGAAAATCACTTAAACGCATATAACTAATTACTAAATTAAGATATTTATATGAAGTTTAGCACGAGCATTGCTCATATACAGACAAATATTACTGTGAATTTGTTTTCCTATCGGTCCATAATTGATCATAGCTCCCAAGGTCCCTTTCAGAAAAACACTTAAAGGCACATAACTCATTATCAAATAGTGATACCCATAAAACATTTGGCATAAATACTACTTTTGTACACAGAAATGTTATTTGAGCATTTTTTCATGATCGGTCCAACTTTGGTCATAGCTCCCATACAAGGATCACTTAAACGCACATAACTCATTACAAAATATTGATATCCATACATTTAGCAAAAATATTGCTCTTATATACATCAATTAAACTATAAAATTGTTTTACGATTGGTCCATATTTGGTCATAGCTCTTATACTAGGTCCCCTCCAGAAAATCACTTAAATGCACAATATTCATTACCAAATAATGATATAGATACAGAATTTTTAAATTTTGTCTTTATATACATAATTGGTCATAGCTCCCATACAAGGTCCTTTTACGAAAATCTCTTAAACGCACATTACTCATTACCAAATAAAGCTATTGATAAAAAATTTGGCCCAAATATTAATTTTGTATACAAAAATTATATTTCAAGATTTTTTCACGATCAGTTCATAACATAGGTGCGGTCGGTCCCACACAAGGTTCGCTTCAGAAAATCACTTAAACACACATTACTTATTACTAAATTACGATATAGATACAAAATTTGACTGAAATATAGCTTTTATGAACAGAAATTTTGCTTAAAAATTTTTTTACGATCGGTCTATAATTGGTCATATCTCCCATACTATAGATTTAAGCTGTTTAAATCTTTGTATTTTTTTCTATTCAAGACATGAGAAAACTTATTTCTACAAATATTTGATCAATTAGAAAAGTATTAATATATGTATAAGTAGCTGGTGGAGGGTACTTAAGATTCGGCTCAGCCGAATATAGCACTCTGACTTGTTCTTTTTAAGTTATCTAAAAAGTTTCTAAGAAGATGTATATAGAATTTATAGTTTTTGGAAAGCTGACTTTACATAAAGTACGATAAATGAAACAAAACCTAAAAATTTTTGATACCGAGGGGACCAGGTCCATCCAAAAAAACCCTATTTTTTATGGAAAATTCAATTTTGAGCAAAAATTCTCAAATCGCATAGTCGATATCAAATTATAGTGACCTGTTTTATATGACCCAATATGTTCTTAATCATTTTGTAACGGGTTTCGATAACCCCGCCCCTGGTATGGATATAATAGGCAAAAAACCAAAAAATCCCATTTTTGGGATTTTTTAAAACTTTTTTGGGAATTCCGGGATTTCTAATAAGAAAATTCGAAATTTTTATTTAATTTTGGATTTTAAGTAAAAAAATCTACCTAACTGTAAAATTTCATCAAAAAATATTCATAAATAAAATTTTTATTGCAATTTGAAAAATTTGTATCTTCGCAAAAACTGAATAAAAAACATTTTTTAATTTTTTTTTTTAAAAAGTATTCCGCGAATTTTTTAATTTTCAAAAATTATATACAGTTTTGAAAAATAGACAAAATTACCTTTCCATTGATATATAACATGCCTACCTAATGTTTTTTAAGTGACAAATTAATTAGGGAAAACTCAACATCTTTTAGAAAATTTACATAGCACTATTATTTTCATCCATAAGGTTAACTCTTAAATTTGTTACATATATGGATGAAAATAATCGGATTAACCGTTTAGAAGTTACCGAATTATTTCCCTCTTTTTTTTTCCTATACCACTGTGAGACGTATCGTTGTGCTAGTGATTTATCTGTGTGATCACTTTGGAAAAATCTTCTTAATTAAAAAAAATTAAAAAGATTTCTGAATAACATACTAAATTAACAGTGTTAATTTATATAGCTATTAATTACCTAAATATTTTATAGTGTATTTTACCTTAAATATGAAGGAACCACCAGACACCGGTGGCAATAAAGACCCACCGGATAGTGGTGATAATGAGTATAGTAAAGTGAATCATTCTATCCCACTAAATATAACAACACCTGGTCCAAAATACCTTATAATAACCAGAACTGACGAGGGCAAAACTCTTACCAATGTGTCACATTTTTTAATTAAAAAAGTTATAGACGGTACTTGTGGTGAAGTGTCAGAATGCAAAAAACTTAGAAATGGCACTATTTTAGTCCGTACAAAAAATCTCAACCAGGCTAATAAATTAATACAATTGAATAATCTATGTGAAAACATAAACATCCTAGTAACATGGCATAATTCCTTAAATTATGTCAAAGGGGTAATATATTCAAATGATTTAAGAGAAATCCCAGACGATGAAATCTTAAACGAACTCAAAAACCAAAACGTTATAAAAATTGAAAAAATTAAAAGAAAAGTTAATAATAAAATTGAGGAAACCGGTCTTATTATAATTACTTTCGGATCTACAACTCTACCAACTGAGCTTAATATTGGTTACGAGCGTGTAAAAATTCGAACATATATACCATTACCACTTAGATGTAAACAATGCTTATGATATGGACATATAGCAAGCATATATCCCAACTGTTCTAAAAATTTCCATACCGGTGAAAACGAACTCTGCATGGAAACAAAAAAATGCTCAAACTGCAAAGAATTTAATTCTTTAGACCCCAATCATTCAGCTTATGATAAAAAGTGCCCAATATTCTTAAAAGAGCGCGAAATACAAACAATAGTAACACTTGAAAAAGTAAACAAAAAACAGCAAACTCTATTTATAAACAACGTCACCCAAATACGATTCTATCTTACTCTGCAGTTGCCAAGCAAACAATCAACAATAACCAATCAGTTAATATTGCAAGTGATCAAAATGAGACCACAGCATCACACTCATCAACAAATCTCAACAATACAATCAACGGAGAGTCCCAACCTAACTGCTCTCACCACTCAATCTCATCAGTACGTACAATTGTTAATTACAACAACGTATCTGATATAGAGGTATCGGAACATGAAATGGAACAATTGAACAACATATCACAAACGGAAAAAGTATCAGATGACAACAGTACTCTCTCCAAAACAACATCTGATATTGAAATATCAGAAAATGAAACAGGTTCAACACAACAGAAAAACAACACCAACAATGTAATTTTTCTACCTAGAACTACATCTAATAGGAATAAACAGAAAGTAAAACAGAAAACATTATCTGGTAGACGATCGAAAAGAGTAAAAATTTAAATATTAGTTAACACAATGGATCATGTAATTATTCTCGCTTATGATTATTTATATAAGTCTATGAAATTATATGAGATGAAAGAAAAAAATTCTTTAATCTCATATAATTTCTCTTCTTTATTATTTTTAATTCCACTTAACACTTTAACTCTCTTCACTAAGTTCATAATTATTTTAGAAAACACCTTATCTGATCTTTATCGAGAATCGTTATATAATTATCTCAATTATATTCAAAATTACTCTTGAAATCTACTTATTGTAAATTATTTATGACCATGGCTTCATTTAATGTTGTACAATGGAATATCAATGGTTACATTAACAATTATAACGATATTCTTCTGAATAAGGGAAAAGTTCCTAAGATAATTTCTCTTCAGGAAACTCATTTGCACTATACTAACAATATACCTGTTCCTATTAACTACACCATCTTTTCGAAAAATACATCACGTACAAGATACGGCGGTGTGTGTATTTTAGTTCACAAATCTGTGGAACACAGACAAATTTCTCTTGCCGATGATTTTGATGCAATCTGCATAGAAGTAATTTCGAAAATTAAATTTAACATAATATTCTTATATATACACCCTGACCACAGATTAACATACAATCAGCTTACGAATGTATTAGGAAACATTTCAAATCCAAGTTTAATAACCGGAGATGTAAACGGACGGCACGCAAATTGGGGTTCACCTATTAATAATAGTAGAGGCAATTTAATTGCAAATTTCATAAATAATTCCAAATATCTAATACTAAATGATGGGTCACCTACTCATATTAGTACACACAATTCCCTCACACATGTAGACTTAACATTGCTACTGCAGCAGATTGGGACATTGAGAAAACACCGTTTGGCAGCGATCATTTTCCGATTACAATTTCTTTATTTTTACGTCAAAGGGACAAAAATGAAAACTATAAACCAAAATATAAAATTGGGTATGCGAATTGGGAAAAATACATATTGAACAGTGTGAAATTCAGTTCGGAAAGACCCGTTTCCTCCAATATTAATAAAGAAACTGGAAATATATGTAGGATAATGAACCAGGCGGCAAATGATTCTATACCAAAAACATCAATTAAATGGAATAATAAAAGTTCAGTTCCCTGGTGGAATGAGCATCTCCAGAATCTTAAGGAAACTAAAAATCGGGAATGGAAAACGTTCAATAGAGATATGTCTAAAACTAATCTCATAAATTACAAAAGGGCGAACGCTTTATTTAAAAGGGAGATAAAACTTGCCAAGAATACGTCAATACAAAAACTCACATCATCGATAAATCCTTCATCCAGTTTGGAAAGTATTTGGTCGAATATCAGAGCATTCACTGGTTATAAGAATACACATCAAATTAATTGCATTGCAACCGATAACTCAATGTCTAACTTTACTGAAAATAGAATTGAAATTGCAGAGATTTTATGTAAATTTTGGTCTCATAACTCCAACGACGACAACTTTTCTTTAGACTTTAATGAAAGAAAGAAAGTAGTATCCAACAATCTAGCAAAAATTATACCAAGTGAGGAAGCAAAAGTAATAGAACGGAACATAAGCTATATAGAATTAGAATTAGCTCTTTCTAGGCTAAGGGGCAAATCCCCGGGTCTGGATAGGATTCCATATGCTATGATTAAACAATTACCATATTCAGTTAAACTAAGAGTGTTGTCTTTATTTAACCGGATTCTTAACAATTTTATACCACAACAATTCAAAAATAGTATTATAATACCCATCCTTAAACCAAAATCTAACAAAACTACTCCTGCATTATACAGACCTATATCTCTTAATCCATGTTTGGCAAAAGTTTTAGATAAGATTGTTTCGAACAGACTATGGTGGTTTGTACTTAACAACAAACTATTGGATAGTCATCAATACGGATTCAAAAAGGGAAATTCAACAACTGATGCTCTACTTTATATAGACCACCAGATTGCTAGCTGTATTTCATTTAGAAAGCACCTTACGCTCATTTCTTTAGATTTTGAGAAAGCATTCGAACAAATTGGTATCCACGCAATTATTGACCAACTAAGATCATGGAAAATTGGACCAAATATAATCCGATACATTGTAAACTTTATGACAAATAGAAAGATTGTAGTTAGGATTGGTAGACAACATTCCAACTCTTTCCCCTTACATAATGGCATACCCCAAGGATCCCCCCTCTCGGTCATTCTGTTTTTAATCGCTTACAATAAACTGTGCAATATAATATCGTTACACAAGGAAATCGATTTTACCGCCTTTGCAGATGACTTCAACATTATTATTAGATCAGATAGGAAAAGTAATCCCGTAATTAATATAGACCACATTTTCCAGGACATTATGGACTGCTGCAATTACTCCGGGGCGGTCTTATCGTCCTCAAAATGTTAATATATCCATCTTTGCAGGAAATTAAAATGTAGACCATTATTACAACTTAATAATTTTCAACTACAGGAAGTAAATAACCTCAGAATTTTAGGACTTCATTTTAATAATCGTTACAAATGGAACACACACGTGGAGAACCTTACATCATCACTTTCGAAACAATTGAATATAATAAAATGTTTGGCAAGTAAGAGGTTCAATTGCAACACTACTACTTTAATATCAATTACAAAATCTATTATTTTGTCTAAGATTAACTATGCCTTACCTTTTTTCGGGTATGCACCTAAAACTATTGTGGGAAAGATTAAACGAATCATAAACGCAGCCATAAGACTATCCTTAGGAGCGTTCCGCACGACACCAATTAATAACATGCTAGTTGAATCTGGCATCTTGCCATTAGAATCTCAGAGAAATTTGGCAACATCAAAATTATTTAAATCGATACACAACAATCCACTAATAGAACGAATTTTTAAAAATATAGGAAAAAGGAAAAGGAACTTTAGAATAAACTCTACTATTCAAAGAACGCTTGAAATTTGTAAAACGCTACAGCTGCCCACTCAATTTCCGATTTATACTAAAAGCATTAGAGAACCACCATGGGATTTCCAAAATGACATTATTGATACAAAACTCTCAAAGTTTTCTAAGGAAATTACATTTCCCGCCCACTTTAAAATATTATTTCGTGAGATGAAGGAACGCTTGGAACATTTTAACTTTATTTATACTGACGGGTCAAAGAACGATGACTCTGTAGGTTACAGTATAGTGAATGAACAGCAAATATTAAAATCTTCAATCTTACCAAACTATTCATCAATATTTTCCGCAGAACTAATCGCAATATTTGAGGCTTTGAAATATGTCAAGGATAAACATGGAAAATTTGCAATATGCACAGATTCACTATCTTGCATAAAATCAATAACAAATATTAACAACCAGGAATATTATGCAACAGTTATTAGAAACATTTTAATGAAATCATACCCAAAAATTCGTTTAATATGGATCCCCTCAGGCTCAGACTGCGACATACCAAAATGTCACACATTCACCTTATCAACCAATCTATTCAGAACGTATGTGATTGTAACATTCCTCACCCCAATAATTTGGACCACATTCTATCATCATGCCCTGAATTTTCAAACTCACGTCAAGAACTCTTCAATAACTTACATCCAAAACAGTATTTATCAACCCCAACTGTGGAAAACTTGGATAAAATTATACAATTTCTAAAATCTACTAATATTTATAATTTAATTTAACCCATATTGGTATCCATTGTATAATATACTTATATATTTGTAAATATAATTTTTTAAGAGTAATCTTAATATTACTTCTCAAAATTGCTTATTTTTATTATAATCTACTAGCTATACCCAGTGTGCTTTGCTACCCTAAAATCAATGTATATAAAAAACACTTTACGATTTTGAAGGTTCTAAATGTAAAAGTTTTCCAGATATACATTTTTTACATTTTGGGGATGTCACGCAAATTATTGTAACTTCGCCAATTTTTCCAAACGTTAATTTAGATTTTAATGTAACCTATGAAAAAATTAAATAATATAATAGTTTCCCACATGTACGAAATTTTGTATTTAATTCATATGGGAGATCCCAAGATCCCATTGATAATCCGCCCATTTTTCTCTAAATGTTTACATAAATGTCGAAGTTTTTCATGTAAAATTTTGTAGTCCTTATATTTTTTCAGATATATGAATTTTTTATTTAATTCATATGGGAGGTTCCAATTTGCAAGTCCGCCAATATATTACCCAAATGTTCACATTGACTTCAAAGGATTTTTGCTCTAATAGTTCCCCAGACATACGATTTTTATACCCACCATCAAAAAAGATGGGGGGTATATTGATTTTGTCATTCCGTTTGTAACACATAGAAATATTGGTCATAGACCCACAAAAGTATATATATTCTGGGTCCTCATTAAATTCTAAGACGATCTAGCCATGTCTGTCCGTCCGTCCGTCTGTCTGTCTGTCTGTCTGTCTGTTGAAAGCACGATAGAGTCCGAATGGAAAGAGCTAGAGGGTTGAAATTTCACATAAATATTTCTTATAGGTAAGGTTTGTTTGGTATTGAAAATGGGAAATATCGGTCCATGTTTTCGGATAGCCCCCATACAAGTGGCCCCTCGAAAAGCAGCTTTAACAGCCATAACTTTTTTAAAAATACGAATATAGCGATGAAATTCGATATAAGTAAGTTTCTTATAATCCAAAATCAATATGCGAAATTTTATGAGGATCGGTCCATAATTGACCCTACTCCCCATATAAGGTCCCCTTCAGAAAATGACTTTAACGCTCATTACTGGCTTAAAAATACTAGTATATAGATGAAATTCGACATAAGTAAGTTTCATACGAGTCAAAATCTATCTAAAAAATTTTATGAGGATCGGTCCATGATTGACCCTACCCCGCATATAAGGTCCCCTTCAGAAAATGACTGCAACGCTCATTAATGGTTTAAAAATACGAGTGTAGCGATGAAATTCGACACAAATAAATTTAATACGAACCAAA